GAAGATGTGGAGGAGGAGGGGGAGGACGAGGGGGAGGGCGAGGGGGAGGACGAGGGGGAGGAGGGGGAGGAGGGGGAGGAGAGGGAGGCGTATGAAGACGAGGAGGAGGATGAAGACGGGGACGAGGGCGAAGACGTCGAGGAGGAGGAGGAGGAGAAAGACGTAGCGAAGGAGGAGCAGGAGGACAGAGACGCAGAGGGGGAGGAGGAGGAGGAGGAGGAGGAGGACGACGACGAAGACGTGGAGGAGGAGGAGCGGGAGGAAGACGAAGCCGTGGAGGAGGAAGCGGAAAGAGGAGGAGAAAGGAGGGAGAAAACCATGACGAGGAAACGACGACGAAACGACGACGACGACGACGACGAGGACGACGACGGTGTAGGAGAAAGACCATAACGACGAAACGAAGAGGGAGAGAGAAAGAGAGACCTGCTTGCGCTGCTGCGTGCTGCGCTCCTCGCGCTGCCCTTACTGCGGCCGCTGTTAGCCATGCTGCGCCTGCTCCACGTCTGCTCCTTGCATGCTGTGTACGCCTCATTGCCCTGCTTCTTCCTCGGCGATGGCGGCAGACCGCACCGGGCATGCACGCGTCCGAATGTCACTGCCGACCTCACAGACGCAGGACTTCGAAATCAAACCCCACTTCCACTTCCGGGGCGGCAAAACGCAGAAACCCCATTCAAACGGGCACATGAAAAAAACCGGAAAAATAAAAGCCAGACCAACTGAGATAGTCAACGGAATCCTCCCAGTCGGTATTAGTAAAGGTCTCCAGCCAACACGGCCGGGTGTGAGTGGGTTGTTGCGTGTGGTGTGTGGGGGAGTGTTGGCTTTAGACACTACTGTTACTCGATGGGGGTGGGGGAGGATGAAAAGGGAGGCACAGTTACTGGCAAATGCTCGGTCCTTGTGGTAGCCGGGCCCCCACAGTCGGCCCCAACCCCGTACCCTAACCGCTAGGGGCTAAGAGGCGAACATGCCATTACCTTTCTCCACCGAGAGAGGTAACCTCCCTTCATTGAAGAGAGGTAGAAAGCTATGCTTGCAGTGGTACGAGTTTGCGAGTTTAACATTCGCCAGGCTATGGCAGCAGCGAGCAACTATGTCAAGCGACTGCTGTGATGGTGAAAGCTGGAAGGGAGGCTGTACTCTATCTTCAGCAGGAGCCACCCCTCACGGTGGCTGGAAAGGTGACAGCGAGACATGCAGCTTGTGTCCCCTCTCGCTGCTTTCCTTGCAGATCTCCACCATCTTTAAGGCTTCAAGGATTGAGAACAGGCTATGCACAGGAGTGGAGAGGGTATAGGGTTTAAAGGGGGTTAAAATTAGATAAATAGGCATACTTCTCTCTCAACAATTAGAGTTAGGAGTGGAGAGGGTATAGGGTTTAAAGGAGTTTAAAATTAGATAAATAGGCATACTTCTCTCTCAACAATTAGAGTTCTATCGCATTACATTGCATTGCATCGATAATCATCTCCTGGCAGTCCTAGGATAGACAAAATGTCTTGCATGTTATGTAGGGGGAATGTGTGGGTAGAGCGTTGGAAGGGTTTAAAAAGTCTGACAAGGGAACAATTACCAGGACGGGGTTGGGTTGACAGACAAGGGGTGCTTACTGGCAGCCCCATGGGACAATGGAGTCCTGGACCAGTGAGACAAACAACCACAGCCCTGGGAAACAATGACCGATAACTGCTGGCTACAAGATGTATCAATGGGATGCTGGACCCCATTTCCAGCAGGTGCCACTCCCCACCAATAGATGGAGCAGCCCAACAGTCAAGCCGTCAATCCTGGCGTTTCTCATACCACCGCTGGGATCTGTCTCTTATACACATCTAGATGTGTATAAGAGACAGCTCCGACTCAAGGTGCCATCAAGAATACGTGAAGCTGGGGCTCATTAATATCCAAACTGAATTCTCGCTGTTCTTCACCCTTCTTCCTTATTATCAGTTGATGGTAATACTACTACGGTCCGTGATCGCCTTGTATTGGCGACGTGCTTTGTGTCTCGAGTGTGGACGGGATTACGCTTATCACACACACGGGGTTTCCTACTGGACTTGCAGCGAAGAAGAGCTCCACGCTAGAAGCCTCCGACCGAGGCCTTCTGCGTCTGACTCAGAACTTTGCGAGCCCCGCAGGTGCCACTTGGCTTAGCAAGGGACCCACATTGTGTCCCCGACGTCCACCGGCCTGGAAGAATCCATCACCCAGGGCAAACTCGATCAATGGCCCGCCCCACCAGCACTTTTGCGAACTAATTGCCTTGGTGCACTTTTTGATTGGGTCAACTCCGTTCTGTCCTCGGAACTTCGACAAAGGGGATCTCAGTTTCGACCTGGGACTCCAACCCCCACTTTCCAAAAATCCTTGGCACACCCTCTCTCTCACACTTCCGGGCCTATACTCACTCCATTCAGGAAGTTGCGCACAGCCTGAGGTTGGGTGTCACAGGCTCTTCAGGCATACTCACAAGAACTTTTTCGACTCAGCTCTGGACACAAAAGGAAGGGCCCACTGTGACAGCAGAAGATGAGGGTGCTGAACGCCTAGGCCCTAACCCGAAGGAGGACTACATCACGGAGCAAGGAGAGCTTCCCCTGGGGACCATGGGCAGCACGGACAGGGAGTAGACATGTCAATGGCCCAACAAACCCAGTCGTAGGGGAAACTAAAGGAATGGGCAGGGAAGCGATTGGGGAAGTTTCCCCCAAGCACCCGCATAGAAATGGAAGACCTGGAGGACGCAACTAGAACCCTTACTAATCATAACAAGGGCCAACTTTGTTTATGTCACTTTTGAGTTCCTAATGTACAAAAAGAGCACGCGGCTGCAAAGAAAGCAGCAGCCGCCGAGGTTTTTTTCTTTTTTGTTTTCTCTGCACTCTGCTGCAGTGCAATACAGAGGGAACACTGGAGGGGTCGAGTAAGCAAGCCCACCGTGTGGATGCATCTAGCTTCAATCATGTCCAGGGACAAGTTGGAGAACTCCTGGTCTGTCTGAGTATTCTTCCTGCTCTGTCCGAGTGTTCTCGATTTGCCTTTTGGCCACCCCGCCTTAGGACCCGCCCGCACTCTTCAGACTGTCTTTTTCCTTTATTTGGCTGTTTTCCCCTTTTGGTTACATTCATCAGGTGATTGCTTGCTCCCCGTTTTCACAACTCCGTCGTCTTTTCACCCTTTTCGTCCACGTGGACTCGAAACACTGGCTCTTTCCCAAAAAACAAAAAAAAACAAAAAAGCTGCTGACCTATTTACTGACAACCCATTTTCCCTCTTGCACTGCAGCGAAGCGTGGCGCGGCCCACACCCMCCTTGGGGAGAAMAAAAAAAAAAAAAAAAAAAAAAAAAAAAAAAAAAGCCCATTTCGGCCTTCTTCTCCTTTCCTCGTTATCCTGAACCTACCATCGAGGACAAGGTGCAACCGTGCAAGCGCCGAGAACCGTCCGCCGCTGGCGAGTGCCAGCGCGGACTCGCCAGCGCGGCAGTGCAAACTGACTGCCACTGTGGCCATAGGCGTGCAACGCTGGCAAGCATCAATCTGACGTCATCAGTTGGCGGACAAGACAAAGGATACGATATCTGTCTGAACGCGTACACACAGCGCTATCTCGAGAGTATAGGGCCTCGCTGCACTACTCTCGAAATGTGCAGAACGAGAGTGAATCTTCGCCTAGAATATGGAAAGATGCACCGCCATGAGTTCTGTCTGTTGTGCATGTCGAGAGTAGTGCAGCGAGGCCCTATAACCTCATTCCCGCGCCTGCCGTCGGATTCTCGTTCTGTGGCAGTCAAGGCTGATGCGAATTGTCGGTTACGGAGAACAGAGTTCTCGTTCTGTGGCAGTCAAGGCTGATGCGAATTGTCGGTTACGGATAACAGAGTGAGAGGCCCAGCCGCTGCTAACTGGCGCCATTTTTTTCATCTTTAAACTTTTTTTTTTGTTTTTTTTTTGGCCTTGAGGTATTATCATCGTACTAACCAGCCCAGGTAAATTCAATATTGTGTCTAATCTGACATCGGGGGCTAGGTCCCACTTGCACGAATTAAGAGATACTGACCGTAGATAGCCAAGATCAACGGCCGAAATCTGCTAATTTGCGCAGGTGGGCCCGGGTGGCCTTTTCAGCCCAGGGTGGCCTTGATTGCCTTCAGGGAACCCCCAAAGGGGGACACCGGCCAGGGGACAGCCGGTAGCAGAGGGACTGAGCATCATCTGAGTGGCCAGTGACTGTGCCTCCCCAATTACCCCTCCCCCTATGAACAAGCCCAGGTTGTTGTAGAGGTGGGATACAAGACCAATGACAGTTACCCACAGCACTTGGTCACTCGGTTGTCCAGCTGAATCCCTCTGAAGACCCCACCCGCCCTTACTCCTATCATGTTTGCCCTGGCGCACCCCCACGGCATTTTAATGCCAATTGGGGGGACCAACGGACTATCTCTAGGTGGCGGGCGCCAAGCATGCCCAGGAAGGTACATGAGGCCAATGGGGATTGAACCCAAGACCTCCTGAATGCCACTTGCGTGCCTTACCAACTGAGCTAGGCCGCTGGATCACTTTAAACTTCTTTCCCAAGTAGGAAGGGGTAATGTCATCAAAAGGAACATCCCAGAAGAAACGATAATATGTCAAAAGGAAGAAGTATTTAGAATCAGAGTACTCCTAGAGGAAGGGCAAAGGATAGCCTACCTCCCCTCCACTCCGATCCACAACTTGGCCCTGGACCCGTTGGAATGGAAATGGACGACTCGAATGGGGAGGGGCAAGTATCACACCATCGCTGTACAGTCTAACAGTTAAACCCACCTACAGACTCCTAAGACCAAAGATAGACCTTCGGGACCAAGTGAAGGAGCATTGGAGGAACCACCTGAATATCAGCAAGGAGGAATTGAAACCAATAAAATGGTTCAGGATGACAAAGACAAAACCAGCCAAGTTCGCCTCACTTCAATGGCAGCTTGAGCACCGCTGCCTACCAACCAACAACTGGTTGATAGACAGAACGTCCCTGGAACAGGCAGGTCGAGCTCTACCTTGGTGCAAGCTGTGCACAAACGCATTCTCATCCAGAAAACGACCTGAGACAATTGAACACATATTCCTACAGTGCCCAAACGCACTCTGGTTGGGGAGATGGTGGGATAGAATTTGGGACCAACTAGCAACAAAACCCCCGTGGCCCTGGGATTGGAAGGCCCTGCTGTGCAAAGCATGGCCCAGGGGCCTGGCTGACCGCCTCGATGAATTTACCAACAACCTGTTCAAACTGGGACGAAGGGTGGTACTCTGGGCACTTTGAGGAAAACGCTGCACATACAAGATGGAAGGAGCGAGACTAGAAGGGCCCAAATTTACAGAAGTGTATAACAACAGATCCAAATGGAAATAACCACAAAATGGGATAACGTCAGAACACAGATCCACTCCCTAAATACACAAAAGGACATTAAACAAAGAATCCAAAATTTTTCCTCAAGCTGGCTCGGGGGGACAAACGGAGGAAGGATAGGGAAAGTGGAATGGAAAGGGGCACAACAGGAAGCTATTGAGGGTCAAGGGAGAATGAAAATAGTAAGGGACTACAGATTGATATTCCATAAATGGACCAGAATTGATACGACCATACCATTGAAGCCCCCTGAGGAATTTCCAGACTTCTTCCCCCCCCCCATTGAATTCCCTAGTAGGAATGCAGTGGTATGGGATAGATGG